GAATTCCTGCCCCATCCCCAGGGGTTAGAGCGGGGCCCCAAAGGGAACATTTACAAATATTTTAAAATTCTTATCCTTTGATGACATGACAAGTATTGTATTTCACTTAGTTTACATGCTGATTTCCACATCACATCTAAACAATAAAATAAAGCTACCAGTACCTATGATATAACTCAGGTGACCGCTAAGGCCCTTGGGCCTCTTGTACTTTGTTTTCCTCATTTTCTTCCAGTCCTCAGTCACATCGATCTCTGATTACTGAAATGTAACGGTATATACATGTACAATGTAAAGGTTCACAGATCAGTGTTATCAGAAGTGTGATGTTAAATAGTTGAATATTGCTGCCAGTAACAAAATGCCTGTTGTCTCATCCAATTGGTCAATTTTTTGTCCAATAAAAATTTGTTGAAATTCAAAATGAAAAATGCAATTGTCCACTACTCAAGACATTATTTAAGCATGGACACTGATGATCATTTTTTGTTTTCCTAGCATGGACACTGATGAAGACCTCGCTTTAGCACTACAACTTCAGAGTGAACTAGATGAGGAGGCTCCAGCGGTTGCCATAACAACCCCAACTGACCATTCAAAACTTTCCCCTGTTGACCCCAGCTGGGAGTACCTTGACCCTATTCCGGACATTAGAGCACTCTTTCTGCAGTTCAATGACCAGTTCTTTTGGGGCAGATTGGCTGGAATTGAAGTTCGCTGGAGTCCTAGAATGACTTTGTATGTCCAGTCCTTTTCCTTATTGAAAACTGATCTTCCATTTAAATTTGTGTTGTAATTAGATGGTGCAAATTCAAAGTATCTTACACTCCAACACAAAGAAATATTGGACACATTTTATAGGAAACAAAGGAAACAAAGTTTTCATGATTTATAGGGTACATGTACTGACTTCAGATTTCTTGTAAAGTATGTCATAAACAATTGAGTGTTCTAACTGAACGGTAAACACATAGACAATCACCATGAACAAATACTGTAGGTCTATCATGTATACTTCATAGACTTATAGAATCTCTCAGACCCTTGGGGGTGAGATGGGGAACCTCTATCTGAGGGGGACTTATAGAATCTCTCAGCCCCTTGGGGGTGAGATAGGGGAACCTCTATCTGAGGGAGACTTATAAAATATCTCAGCACCTTGGGGGTGAGATAGGGGAATCTCTATCTGAGGGAGACTTATAGAATCTCTCAGCCCCTAGGGGGTGAGATAGGGGAACCTCTATCTGAGGAAGACTTATAGAATCTCTCAGCCCCTTGGGGGGGAGATAGGGGAACCTCTATCTGAGGGAGACTTATAAAATATCTCAGCACCTTGGGGGTGAGATAGGGGAATCTCTATCTGAGGGAGACTTATAGAATCTCTCAGCCCCTAGGGGGTGAGATAGGGGAACCTCTATCTGAGGGGGACTTATAGAATCTCTCAGCCCCTTGGGGATGAGCTAGGGGAACCTCTATCTGAGGGAGACTTATAGAATCTCTCAGCCCCTAGGGGGTGAGATAGGGGAACCTCTATCTGAGGAAGACTTATAGAATCTCTCAGCCCCTTGGGGGTGAGATAGGGGAATCTCTATCTGAGGGAGACTTATAGAATCTCTCAGCCCCTAGGGGGTGAGATAGGGGAACCTCTATCTGAGGAAGACTTATAGAATCTCTCAGCCCCTTGGGGGGGAGATAGGGGAACCTTTATCTGAGGGGGACTTATAGAATCTCTCGGCCCCTTGGGGGTGAGATAGGGGAACCTCTATCTGAGGGGGGCTTATAGAATCTCTCAGCCCCTTGGGGGTGAGATAGGGGAACCTCTATCTGAGGGGGGCTTATAGAATCTCTCAGCCCCTAGGGGGTGAGATAGGGGAACCTCTATCTGAGGGGGACTTATAGAATCTCTCAGCCCCTTGGGGGTGAGATAGGGGAACCTTTATCTGAGGGGGACTTATAGAATCTCTCGGCCCCTTGGGGGTGAGATAGGGGAACCTCTATCTGAGGGAGACTTATAAAATATCTCAGCCCCTTGGGGGTGAGATAGGGGAATCTCTATCTGAGGGAGACTTTTAGAATCTCTCAGCCCTTGGGGGTGAGATAGGGGAATCTCTATCTGAGGGGGAAGAGTCTTAAGTTGCCAAACACAAGGCTTTGTCAAGTTTTTGTAAACTTAAGAATATTTCCCCGAGGGTTGAAATTCCCCATCTCGCCTCAAGGGGGTGAGAGATTCTTTTTCTCTTACCCTGTTCACCCATTATGTATCATGAATATAATTTAATGTTAACTTTCAAGGGTAAATGCATTGTTGACGTGACGTTGATGCATTGTTGACGTGACGTTGATGCATTGTTGACGTGACTTCATACAATTATTATGAATAGGGGAATCCCCCCGTCGCAACCCTAGGGGGAGACAAGGATACCTCAAAATAGCAAAAGTGTGGAAACACCTGTCCAGGGTAAGAGAACAAGTTGTCTATGAAGTTTATTTCCTATGATTTATTTAATAAGATGATAATTATAGTGGTGAAAGAAATTCCTCGGAGAAAATTGTGGTCTTTTATTTTTACACATCATTTCATTTCCTTATATATTTCAAGTCATTGAGAACTAAATATAAAAGTAAAATTTTCCTGGTCTATCAAAATTTTAGTACCTGGGGTAGGTCTATAAGAAAATTGTATCTCATAGACCTATATTGTCTACAGGATGTAAATCCTAAATTGTAAGACTGTTCAAATAAGAGGATTTTTAGAAATGTTCATTGCTTGTAGAGTTAGTCAATCAAGTTGTACAATATGTCATGAGTCTTTGGTTATGTACTTTATACCTTGCAGGTGTGCTGGGTTGTGTTCCTATGAGGGTCGTGGAGGGCTTTGTTCGGTGCGACTGAGCGTGCCACTACTGAAACTTCGACCTAGGAAGGATTTGGTGCAAACTCTATTGGTAAGAGAATTATATTGCTTAGCTAATGGTTAGTTTGATGTAATTTTAAAACTTGTATATATGATAAACAAATACTTTTTCTTTGATTGAGATATCTGATATTATGTTCAAAGCTATTTCAGCCTTCATCCAATGATACTGATTCACCATGGCTGTTTATGAATAACAGTCTTTAGAAGGTTGATGAATTACTATATCAGCTCCTTCATAAGTCAATAATTGTAATATACATATTTACATTTATCACATAATGTACTGTGTTATCCTGTGAATATACCCATGTCATATGACCTACATTATCAGCCCTATGATTGGTTGAAAGTTTCAATTGTTTCAATTGTGACGTCACACCTAGGACAAGAACATGACGTCATAGACTTACGCACTGGAGTCAAAATGGCGGCTTTTTACATTTCAAGGTTGCATGAAAATTGTCGTTTTACACGAATATTTGCCACAAATCATGATTATATGATAAAAATGATCTTACACTCGTTTTCATTTCATATGAAACTCGTCACAAATTTTTCATTTTAGCTCGCCTGAGGCTCGATAAATTGAAACTCGTTTCATAAATCTCGTGAAATGGAAACTCATGTGAGATCCTATATATAACAGTCCTTTGAAGATTATTTTCACTGTCCGTATTTTATGTAATTTTCCAGCATGAGATGATCCATGCCTACCTGTTCGTGACAGACAACAACACGGTATTTAATACTTTATTAGCCTGAGATATTACCAGACAACAACACAATATTTAATACTTTATTAGCCTGAGATATTACCAGACAACAACATAGTATTAAATACTTTATTAGCATGAGATATTACCAGACAACAACACGGTATTATGCCATACTGCAGGGTCCGTCCGTCAACTTTTCCTTTAAAACGCTACTAGTCCTGAACAGCCAAGTAGATTTTGATTAAATTTGGTCTGAAGCATCCTGAGGCCAAGGGGAATCAATTTTGTATAAACGGTGGGTGTGGCCCCCATTTGGGGGCAGAGAGGCGGGGCCGAATAGGGGAAATAGAAATAAAACCTTTAAAATCCTTCTTCCATGTAGGGATTAAGGGATTTTATCCTAATTCAGTATGGAGCATCCTTGGGCCAAGGGGACTCAAATTTGTATAAATGGCGGGCCTGGCCCCCCTGGGGGTTGAGGGGCGGGGCCCAATAGGGGAAATATAGCAAATTCTATAAATTCCTTCTTCTTCTGTAGGAATGAAAGGATTTGTTCCATATTTAATCTGAAGCATCCTTGGGTGAAGGGGAACCAATTTTGTATAAACGGTGTGTCTAACCCCCCTGGAGGCAGAGAGGCGGGGCCCAATAGGGGAAATAGAGGTAAAACCTTTAAAATCCTTCTTCTACCCTAGGGATAAGGGGATTTTATCCTAATTTAGTCGGGAGCATCCTTGGGCCAAAGGGACTCAATTTTGTAAAAGCAGTGGGTGTGGTCACCCAGGGGGCAGAAGGGCGGGGCCCAATAGGAGAAATAGAGTTAAAACCTTTATAATCCCTCTTCAACCATCGGGATTAAGGGATTTTATCCTTATTTAATCTGGAGCATCCTTGGGCCAAGGGGTCTCAATTTTGTATAATTGGTGGGTATGACCCCCCCTGGGCATAGGGGTGGGGCTCTGTTTGAAGTCTGTTGTCGCTATATCTTAAGTACTGGAGGGATCTTTCTGAAATTTCATATGTACTTACAGCACCTACCATGGAGTGCTATATCTTTACTTCATACCAATTATTTTAAACATATTCAGGTGAGCGATACATGCCCTCTGAGCCTGTTGTTCATACAAAATACTGGAAAATCATTTATCAAATTTTTCAAAGGAAACTGAAAACAGACCAGTAATGTTTTTGTTCAAATAAGCATTTGTTATATAAACAGAATTAATGGCATTAACAGCAATATTTTTCAGTCTAATTATAAAATTCACAAAATGTTTGTCTTCAGGACCACGATGGACACGGACCTCAGTTCCACAGTCACATGTATCGCATAAACAAGGAAACCGGGGCCAACATCTCGGTATGTGTGCTATATAAACATGTCCGTCCTCGTATGGCCCAGGCTTTTGATGGTAACCACAAACAAACGTTTTCAATTTAACTCTAAGTAAATGGCAGTTTTTAAGTCCCGTTAGTCACTCAGGTGACTTATTGCGATTGCCTTTCGTCCATCTCTGTGTGTCGTCCATTGTGCATCGTAGAAAAATGTTGGTCACTCCCCAACATCATTTTGTAAAAGCCAATCCACAGCCAGACAGATATCTTTGATTCTTTGTCGCATCACAATAAAAGGTAACAATTTTATTTTAACTCAAGTGACCGTGGAGGCCCTCTGGGCCTCTTGTTATATTTTAACCTTGATGATGCTACATGTTCCATATTTAACATACATGTATGTACTTAGGAGCCTTGCTAAGTTGAACTGGCGGGATATTCCTGATATTAATTGATATTCAATTTGTTTTGACATTTAGAAAGTAAACATTCAAACATCTTGTGTTTTGCTCATATTCAACTAAGTATTACAGATAATTTAATTTAAGCTACTCTTCCAATGCTAGACTTTTTTTGGTTTTATATTGTACAACCTAAAAAAATAGTGATAACAGCATTAACCACAGTGTTTGGCACCATATTTGTATTTGTTAGGCAGGTTTTACAAGTAACAGTGGGGATTGTCATTAGGCAGGTCTTACAAGTAACAGTGGGGATTGTCATTAGGCAGGTCTTACAAGTAACAGTGGGCATTGTCATTAGGCAGGTTTTATAAGTAACAGTGGGGATTGTCATTAGGCACGTTTTATAAGTAACAGTGGGGATTGTCATTAGGCAGGTTTTACAAGTAACAGTGGGGATTGTCATTAGGCAGGTTTTATAAGTAACAGTGCGGATTGTCATTAGGTAGGTCTTACAAGTAACAGTGAGGATTGTCATTAGGCAGGTTTTACAAGTAACTGTGGGGATTGTCATTAGGCAGGTTTTACAAGTAACAGTGGGGATTGTCATTAGGCAGGTATTACAAGTAACAGTGGGGATTGTCATTAGGCACGTTCTATAAGTAACAGTGGGGATTGTCATTAGGCGCGTTTTATAAGTAACAGTGGGGATTGTCATTAGGCAGGTCTTACAAGTAACAGTTGGGATTCTCATTAGGCAGGTTTTACAAGTAACAGTGGGGATTGCCATTAGTCAGGTTTTACAAGTAACAGTGGGGATTGCCATTAGGCAGGTTTTACAAGTAACAGTGGGGATTGTCATTAGGCAGGTCTTACAAGTAACTGCTGGGATTGTCATTAGGCAGGTTTTACAAGTAACAGTGGGGATTGTCGTTAGGTAGGTCTTACAAGTAACTGTGCGGATTGTCATTAGGCAGGTTTTACAAGTAACAGTGGGGATTGCCGTTAGGCAGGTCTTACAAGTAACAGTGGGGATTGTCATTAGGCAGGTTTTACAAGTAACTGGGGGGATTGTCGTTAGGCAGGTTTTACAAGTAACAGTTGGGATTCTCATTAGGCAGGTTTTACAAGTAACAGTGGGGATTGTCATTAGGCAGGTTTTACAAGTAAC